CAACCACTATGGAAATCAATATGGAGATACCTCAAAGAGCTTGGACTGGAGGTTCCATTTGACCCAGCCATCCCTCTGCTGGGTATCTTTCCAAGAGAACTAAAAGAATCATATCACAGAGAAGTATGTGCACCCATGTTTGTAGCGGCACAGTTTGTAGTAGCTAAATCTTGGAAACAGCCTCTTTGCCCATCCGTTGGAAACTGGATAAAGAAGTTGTGGTTTTTCTATAAAATGGAATATTACTCAGCCATAAAGAGTGAGAAAATAGATTCATTCATAGGAAAATGGATACATATTGAAGATATACTCCTAAGTGAAATAAATAAGTCACATATGTGTAAATACCGAATAGTTTCCCTGGTGTAAATAATCTGCAACAATGCATAAGATTCTAATAAGATTACTGACATTTAGAAATGGCAAGAAAGGAGCTAAAGGTATAGGAAAGGTGGGATGGGTAGGGGAAGAGTAAAAAGGGAAAAGAAAAAAATGTGAGAGAATGAAAAGATGAAAATAAAGTGTTTGTAGATGGGGAGGGGAGGAGGGGGTGAAGGGAGGGCAGAGGTAAGAGGAAAAAATGAGAATCAAGACTTGTCATGTAGAGGTACAAGATCCCAACAATGAATGTAACTGTACTGTATCCCTAAAATGTACCAGTGAACTCAATTAAAGGTGAAAAAAAAAAAGAATGTGGGTGTTTCTGGAGAATGATGAGCTAAAAACAATCCACGTTGTGAGAAATAATCCCTGGTGGTCCCTGGTTATCACAAGAGAGTTTATAATATTTAATGTAACACATGTAAGAGATAAAAAGAAAAAAATCCGTATGCTGTACACATTCTCTTAAGATGAAGAAACATAATATTAATTAATAGTTCTATATTTCTTGAGCAAAACATCTGTCTCCTATGAAGACTATTTGCTTTACTTATATGCAAAGCATTGTTTAAATGAGAGAAAAAGAAATATATTCTAGTCGGAAACTTGTCATTTTGGAAAATTTTTAATTATATGAGGAGTTTCAGCTCCTAGGCATGTATGCCTAGCTTTATTTACTAAATCATGGACTCAACTCTTAGATAAAGAAGAGTTCTGACCTCATAGATTGTGGTCTTTGGAGGTAATAGAGACCAAAGCAGACTCCAGAATGACAGAGAAAAAACTTTGTAGAGCTCAAGGAACAGGAAAAAATCTCATAGAAATTCATGTGACACAAATATTATCCTCAACTTACCAGAATTGGGAAATTCATTTTTGGGCTACCCAAACTCCTGACCAAAATCTCACTGGATCAAGTGAACAGAAAAGTCACTAGTTCATCAAAGTGAAAAATCTCAAGTGTTTAATTCCAGAGGCAGCTTAATCAGGGGGTGACAGAGTGTCACTAAATCCTGTTTCTTCATTACAACCATCTGTCGCCAAGCTGTCCCCAATCCCTATATTGGGGCACCACCCATGGCTGACCCACCCAGGCTGGCCTTGCTCCTGGATCTAGACCTGCTACTTTGTTCTCCCTGACCCAGGGGTGAATGAGGATGAAGAGAGAGACCTGCAGGCAGCCAGGGGCTCTCACCTCTATTAGTGGAGCCTTCCATATCTGGCTCATCTTGCCTTTATTCATCCAATATGGGTACAAGCAATCAAGGTAACACATGATTCATTTACTTTCCAATATCCATTAGTAAATATTCTGATAAACAACTTAACCTCAGCTGTCTTAAGTTTTCCTTAGAACCTACAATATGCAATCACCCCTGAGTGCAGCCTTTCTCCTTTGTGTTCACAGAGGAGGCCAATTAGGCCTTGATTTTCCTCTGGTCTCAGGTGACCATCTACTTGGCATTATTCATTTCCATGCTGGCCCCCTATCCAGACAGGTGGTTCAAGATGGCTACCACATCTCCAACTCTTTCAACATCTCATGTTCCAGAGAGAAAAGAATGATGTAATTTTTTTTCCAGGATTCCCAACATTTTCCTTGCATTTTATTGGCTCCAAGCAGACAATGTATACATATTGAACCAATCTCTGGGGCCAGGGAAATGAACTGTAATAATTTGCTTAGGTTCAAGTTGCAAGTTCCCTGCTGGAACATGAATGGAGCCCCACCTTCAACATGTTGAGAATGGAGGGAAAGGTTTTGCATGGAAATTTGAGCTATAGTAGATGAAAGACTAGAGTATAAAAATACTAATGCCAAAACAAAAGACATTTATAAAATAAGTGCACATTATTTAAATGCTGTATTAGAAAAATTCTTTAGCTGTTTTATAGTTATAGGTGATATAGAGGAAACCAGTAATAAATTGTGCTAGGAAAATGGCCCTCATATTCTTTATACACTGTGATACATCAGATGATCAACTTTCATGTAATATGCTGAATAATTATAAGTGCTACAATTTATTGAGCATCTTTTATTTTCAAATCATACCAAAATCTCTAATTTAATCCCCACACTAACTCTTCCCAGAAAGTATTAGTATGTATTCCTTAAACATGAGGAAATGAGGCTTAGAAACAAATTAATCTTATTTCTCTGTGATTTCACATGACTGTGGTTTATTTCCCATTTCTGGTTCACATTTTAGTGGGTTTACAAAGGATTGAGGCTGGCTGAGACTTTATCCCCTTGTACCTACTCCCTCTGGACCATGTGGCATTCTCAATCATTATAGTAGATGAAGAGAGAACTGGACAACAGCATACTGGTTTTAAACTATTCAGTCCTGAAGTGGCCCATTTCCATTCCACTCATAGGCTATGGGTCATCTGTCTTAGTTACTTTTTTATTGCTGGGAGAAAATATCAGACGATCACAGGTTAAAAGAGGAAAGGTTTACTTTAGCTTACAGTTTGTTGAGCATTCAGTCCATAGCTGGTTCAAGGCAGGGCAGCATGCAGAGGAGCATGGCAAAGGTGGAAACAGTTCATGGTGTAGTGGGCAGTAGGAAGCAGATTTCCTTCTTCTTTCCCTTTTTATTCCATTCGAGCTACACACCTATTGGTTGGTGCTGCCCACACCCAGAATATGTCTTCCTTCACTCATAAATCCATCACCTGCACCCAGACCAATCAGTGGAGTAATCCAGTATTAAACATCTACGATTTGGTCACTCTCAAAAGTCCCACCTATGAACATGTGAGGCTGGGGAGAGCATTTAGAAATAAGCCGTAATGTCACCATAATGACATGACCTCAACTAACATCATGGGACTAGAAAATGTAGGAGAGCCCTTGGACATCTAATCAACAGTAAAATGACTACTATGGAGGTATTCCTAGAGCTATCTGAATGTAAAGTGGGCATTCTGCCCATTAGACCCAGATTGCAACTTTTTGCCTAGCTACTTTTTATTTCACTGTTATAAAATATCAGTTATTAAATATTTCCTTTATCTATAGAAAGCAATACAATGGAAGTAGAATAATTATTAAGAGTATGGGTCTTAGAACCAGACTTCTTGAGTTTATATCCTCACTCCTGTTGCATGCCCTTCAGTGAGTTAGTCAATAGTTCTGTCTCAGTTTTATTTATTATTATCTCAGGAGATAATAATGATATTAATAATAATGTTCATGCTACATGGTTTTCAGGATTAAATGAATTTATTGAAATAGAGCACCAGACAGTGCTTAAGACAGTGAGTGCTTAATAAATTTTGCAAAGATTATTATAGGACCACTTAGCTTCTCACTAAGAAAAACTATTTTCCAGCTGCAAAATGAAAATGTGGAAACATGTACTGGGTCACAAAGGGAACCACATGACGGGAATAGCCATGGAAACCTCAAGTCACTACTGGAAAAACAACTCAAAGGTCATGTTCAGTTGAAATTAGTTTAGCTGTGTGGTCTTTATTGACAAAAGATGTGAGTGTGTGAGTGTGTGTGTGTGTGTGTGTGTGTGTGTGTGTGTCTTTGAGCAAGGTACATAATGTAAATAGGCAAGGTGTTTGACAACTCATGAAATTCAGTCTTATAGTTCCTCTTCCTCATGTGTATAGTGTGTATGTATTTAGGCATGGTGCTGTATATTCACAACTCAAGAAGTAAAACCAAGTCTAAAAATATAGATTTTATTTTATTTACTATTATTTACCAAACACACACGCGCGCACACACACACACACACACACACATGCGTGCATACACTAGATTCAATGTCTTCTTGGCTACTGAGGCTTGATGGAAACATTCCATAAACCCCAATACTTCTTGCACTCTGCAGACTCTTTCTGGGGAGTGTGTTTCCCAGGCTTTGCACAGGATGCGTGAGTGCCAGTCCCTCTTCACTCCCTCTCCTTGGGGTGTGGCACTGAAAACAGTCAGCTAGCACTTTGACCAGAAGGGCAATATTCCTACTGGAGGCATCCTCTGGACACCTACAACTTGCTTCTCTTTCATTTCAACGTTGAAAATCCACTCAAGCATGTGTGAGAACAAAGTCTTGTTTAGATATGCCAACAAACCCGAATCATTACCTTCAAAGCTAAATTTATTCCTGCTTGAATTTCAAGTTTTCATTTCTTTAAATCAAGGCACTCATAAAATCCAGGTGTTCATAAGCTTACAATGCTATCCACATGAGGAACCCCTTCAGACTCTCGGTATATTTTGATATTAATTTTGGAAAAATAAGTAATTTTGAAATAAGAAATCCAAATTTCTTTCTATGTACATTATTTGACAAAAACAATGAAGGGTTAATGGTAATATGAACATAATGAAGACCTTAATTTAATTGTCCTTTTTCCTACTCCCTTTAAATAAAATTTATTTATTTTTCCACTCTGCGTATGATTATTGTTTCGTGGCTCTGCTTTGGTAGTAGAAGATGACTTGTTCTATCTCAGTTTCAAAAAAGTTTTTATAATTTCAGAAATAGCCAGGCACTGTGAAGGCAAAGCATGTATGCACAGATTATGTAGGAAGCACTGACCAAACACTGTTGACAGGAATTCAAAATACCTAGGTAAGTAGAAAGAAATAGTCCCAAGAGTTCTAAGGAACTTTAAGAAGTTTTTAACTCTACAGTCCAGGATTAAAGGAAGGCATTTATTTAATGAAATGAATTTTTAAAAAATGAAATACATCTTAAGGATGAGCTTCCCTTCTTGTTTTTCTGGTTCTAATGTTGTGAATTGCCTAAGGACAGCAGCCAGGTGAACTATGAACTGGGCCAGATTTTCATCTTTGGCCTAGCTGGTTTCTTTAACTTATCAAAATTAACTGCCTTATGGGCCACTCTGTGAAGTCCCTATACTAGGTAGGAAACTAGCTGGTCTCAGTTGGCTATATCTTCAGATCCTGCCTGATTGTTCCAGTTTGGGTTTTCCTGGGGAACGGCTGCACTGCCCAGTGGACTGTCAGTCTGAAGGAGGTGTTGTTTGTCCCCATAAGACTGGGCCAGGGAGATTACTTGTCCTTGCTCATCTGAGAAGAGTATGGAGTCAAGGATAACATTTAAATCAGGCCAGGTGAGGTTATATGTCTGAGTCAGGCATTGGAACTCTTGGGTATATTGGGTGGGATATGAGGAGGAGACCAGGTCCTAATTTGGGAGAGGTCTGTCAGAGAACTCTGGTCATTCCCTCTGCCCTGGCCACCTTCTGGAGTGGGAACTGGGGGAGGCGGGGGTTTGGAGTCAAAGCAAGGAGCAGAGGGTGAGGGACCAAACTGTAATCTGGACTGGGTATAAGGTGGAGTGGGGCCGAGGAGTCAGGGGGTAGTGTCAGATAGACAGGAGGCCTGGCAGGAGGCTGGGTTGGGAATGTGGCAGAAGGCTCAACAAGGGGCTGACCAGGAAGGGTAGGAGGCTCTGGGGTGGGGGTGGGGAGGATTGTGGCAGCTGAGGTAGAAGCCTTGGATAGCTACCAGGGGAGATCGAGGACAGCTGGATCTGTTGTTGGAGTGGAGTTGGCATTGAAGGGGACTGGAGGGAGGACAAATGGGAGGGAAAAAAGGAGGATTTTAGAGGAATCACAGGAGGTGCACAGGATGGAAAGACTATGGGCTGTAAATGACACCTGGTCATTGGGTACCACAGACCATTTGTCCAGTTTTCAGCAATGATTATCTAAGTCTCACATGATGGAAAAAATTAAAGGTGCTGTTTTCAAGCTATTGAGAGCCATTTTCAAGTTTATGTTGTGGCTAAGCAGGGTTAGAAAAAGTTATTAGGCATTTTGGCTTCAGATCAGAGTAGAGGCTTTAGGTTTTTTAGAAGACAGGCTAGGGGAGAGGAGAGGGGAATAGAAGGAGGGAGAGTCCCTATGGAGAGCAGAGAATGGTATTGAGAGCGGCAGCAAGGTCAACAGCAGACATCTCCAGCTGGGACACAGCACCATAACAGGCTGTGGGTGAGTGGCCGACACAGACATCTCCATGGTTGGCCAGACACCAAAGCAAGACAATTCCTCCTGGGGAGTGTTCTGTGACCAGTAATGGATTTAAGGAGCATGGAAAGCAGAAAGAATATCTCTCTGTCTTAATGGGTGTGGGCTGAAAGAGAAAGGTTCTGCTAGGTGAAGGGTTAAAAGAGAGAACAGTCTCTGTGGGTAAAGGGTAGTGGAAGGAGGGGGAGGACTTGGAGCAGCCACAGTGGTGGCAGAGAGGGCAGGTACTGGGCATTGGGGTCGTGTCTCACCTGATCTGAAGTGGTTGGCAGGGACTGTCTGAGATGTGGTCTGAGGCTCAGTCTGAGGGACAAATGTCACAGGTGGTTTCATCAAGGCAAAGGCTCTGAATAGGGCTGGAAGCCCTCCAGGGAGGGTTGCCCTATCTTGGGTTTCAGCACCAAATGTATCAGAGATGTGGAGTGCAGGAAACCACCTGGGCTGGCCTTGTGTGAGCAAGCAAAACTGTTTATTCATTCACATGAAAACTGGAGGGCTGACTCTGAGAGGGAAATCGGTGTAGGGCACTGGGAGAGCATAGACTTAAGTAGAGAAATGGCTCCAGCATGCAGGGGCGGGCCATGGTTTTCAGTAACAGCCTTCTCCTGCTGGGCCTGACAGGATTTAGTACATTTTCACCAACTCCATAACATCATTTATTATTCTTGTTTTATTGTGAGCCTAAGTTTTATTTGAGCTATTTATTTTCCAAACAATAGCCTACAAAATTAACTCTGGTCTTTAGCTTTCTGGGTCTTTGCTTTCATGTTCTCTGCCGGGTTCTACATCTTATTTATATTTAAAAAATTAATTACAAATAGTATTTTGAATTGTAAACCCTCTTGAGGTCAAGAAAGTATAATATTTTAATATATTTTACCCTGCACTGATATGGTCATGGGGGGGGTTTGAAGTAGAAGGAAGAGAATAATTCTTGATGGAGTCTAAGCATAGCACAACTGAAGTTTTGAAGGGCAGGAAGTGGGCCAGAGTATTAAAAACAAACAAACGAACCGGCGACAACATTAGATCTCTTGTTTCTCACATACAGAGGACTCCTGTTCACTTTCCTTAGAAAGTCCAAACGAAGTAAGGAAAGAGATGGTAGAGGGGAGAGAAAGGAGATGTAGAGAGAGGAGTGGGGGGAAGGCAGAAGAAGCTGTTTGAAAAACAGAAGCAAGAGAGATTTCTAAGGAGACTGATGGGAAAGATCTTTTATATGAACATTATTTTTAAATGTTCATGAAAACTAAGAATAAGACTGTGGGATAGATGTATGCTATCAAATGATTTACTAAAACAATAAATGTGGGTGCCAAGGGAAGCAGTGCTACTCAAGCGCTGACGTGAGCAGACGGGCTTGCACATTGGGAAAGCAGGCAATCTGACAGGTAGACGCTGTGTCAAATTGTCATTGTTTCCTCTTCTATCTTGATAAATATTTTGTTATGTTTGCAAATTATTACAAACATAGCCGCCTACAACACACATTACCTGCTCCTGTGGGTTAGTAATCCAGGCATAGTATGGCTAGATCCCCTGCTTAGGATCTCTTGCAATTGGGACCCAGCTGTCAGGTGGACCCACCTGGAGGTAGCACTGGAAAGAATCTCCTCCTAAACTCACTGCATGTTGACAGAATTTATTCCCCAGAGTGTGTAGGGTTGAGGGCTCTGCTCCCTTTTTGGCTGTTGGCCAGAGACTATTCCAGCCCCGTAGGGCTGCTCTGAGCCTCTCCAAATGGCCAGGTCCTCAAAGACCTCTTGAGCAATGTGCAGTTTTATGTAATGTAACACACCGTCACACAGTGAAATCCTACCACCTTTTCGTGTGGGATTGATTAGAAGCAGGTCGAGGGAGGTTTACATAAGACCATGAACCCGAAAGGATGGGGACCAGGGCAGCCACCTCAAATTATACTCCATATTTTCATGTCTCCTTCATCTTTAATCTGAAACACTCAGCCTTTCTTGCTTTTCATGACGTTGACATTTTACTAGAGTACTGATCAGTTTTTTTTTGTTGATTTGTGTACTTATAAGGTTTTTGTTTATAAGTTTTAAAAATATTTTGCTCAAAAAGCTGTGGGCATATACATACTATTTACCCTCTCCCTAACATCACACTGTAGAACAGTAGCGTATCTCTTGCATCTGTTTGTTTTTATTTTCTGAGAGATGGTAGAGAAGGGACTATCTTGAGCACAAGAGACAACAAGGTAACTGATTGTATATGAAGAGACAGGAGGTTGTGAGCCTAAAAGAATGATCATACTTTTGATAGAAAGCAGAAAATTGGAAGAAAATCTGGCTTGGGAGGTAAGGTGAATATTGTCTCCCTCTTAGCAAACCTCCTTGACTCTCAGTCCATTCAATTTCTGTAGAAAGAAAACCACATTCACCTCTGCAGTAGGCAAATCTCAGCGAGACCTGTCAATCTGGTAGACCCAGTGAGTATAACCTTGACCCAATCAGAGCCATTGCCATATTCGAAGGAAATTTAGGGCTATAGAAAAAGAGTCAGGCATAGTTTACTGCAGGACTTAGCTCATAGCAAGCTTGGGGCTGTGGTGAGCATTCTGCCATGTGTATTATAATTAAGATTAGATTTTGCACTGAGACAAAACCCAAAATGACAAGGATTTAAATAAGATAGAAATGATTTCCTCCCTTGTATAAATGAAGTGTAATAGGTAGCAATCCAGAATCCAGGGTTGTGTGGAGCTTCCTGTTTACCAGGGGTTTCTTTGTCTTTCGCTGTAGCATCTTTAATATGAGGTTTTACCTGAGAGTCCAAGATGGCCACTCGGGCTTCCAGGCAGCAGGAAGAAAAAAGGGATGAAGAAGGACACTTTCTGGAAATTGTTCGTGATACTTTTACCTGTTAATGATTTTATTACCAAAGAATAAGGGGGAAACAACTACTGGGGGACAATGAGCTTCCTCTTCTGCCCCCTCCTAAAAGGAATCCTGACTGAGAAGAAAGTCTGTCCTGAATGAGCACAGTTGAAAGATGACAATAAACAAATCTTTCCTAATGACTTCTTTGAGCCTCTAGATCAAACTGTACCCAAAGGCAAACTACTCCTGCTACTTAAGCCAACTGTTTTCGTTTTCTTCCCTCTCTTCCCTTCTTTCCTTTTCTTTACCCTCCTTCCCTTCCCTTCTCCCCTCTAGCCTGCCCTTCCTCCCTCCCGCCTTTCCTTCCAACTGGAAAAATCCTGACTCGTACAGAAAGGAAGATTCTCCTGGCAGAGAATGTTAGATCATCTTTATTCCTTTGTTGCTCCATTCCCCTCATAATTGCTCAGAATGGCAGACAATTCTTTTCTTAGATCTCCAAAGGGCCATGTTACCCATCTACATGCTCCGTTTCCTGGAGAGGGGACTGCTTGCATTTCTTAGATCTTGCCTTCTGGGATTTGATGAAAATTTAAAACCTATGTTTTATAAATCTAAACTAAGACCCATAAGCTGTAATTCTCAGTCTGATTTATTCTAGGTATATTCATTGATCTTTAGCAATTGCTTTTTGGAATTCTTGTGCTATTCAGAAAAACTCTGTCAAATACATTGGTTGCATCTCCTCCTCTTTCTCAATTATGACTATTAACATTAACAGTATCTGTGGGAATTAGAGCCTAATGATTTCTTTTTGTTGATCCGAGAATCCTGCCATAATAGGTTTCATTTAAAAGGGTTCCAAATAGTTGGTCAGCAGTATAGCCTTTTTTTTAATGCAACTTTTCTAATAGTACCAATTTGCCTAGCCAGTTCCCTTGCTATCGTTTTTTCCTGTTTTTTTTTTTTTCCTTTGAAACAGAAGATACGAAACATTAGGTTTGAGGGTCTTCTTATCAGATTCAGAAAGCATGGCTTTTACTTAAATTATTGTTTCTCTGTACCTAGTTATATCACTAAAGTGATTATGTAATTAGGAGTGTCTACCAATTGTAACTTTCAGGCTATAAAACCTGGCTTTTTGAATTCAAATTATACTGTAGCACCATAAGGCATAGGAAAAAGGAGTGCTCAAGTTCCTATCTGAATGTTTATTTTGAGCAGGGGGAATTGTTGCCACAGTCCGAGTTTCACGGGCTCTCTGAGGCTTAGCATTACCTGCTGCCTCCTGAAGCGCATACATACATGATTTTGAGGTACTCTAAGGGGAACACATCTGAGTCAACCACTTCCCATCTACCCACAGCTTGATGCTGAGGTAGCCGTGAATATAATGTTCCATAAATGGGAAAACTCTGCATGTCTTTCTCTTATATGATTTTTGGTTGAATTTATTTAACCCGAGGCAGAGCCATGTTACAGGATATCATTCATACCCTCCAGGGCTTTATATATAGTTGTTACCAGCCTAGTGCAATTATGCTTGGGAGCACCTCAGAGACTCCTAAAGCTTCTGAAACACAAGGTCAAATTCTACAAACGTGCAGGTATATAGGGGGAATCTAATAATTCATGATTATGGTGACTCTTCTCTTTGAATCTGTCATGAATGAACAGAACTCAGGGAGCTACACATCCTCTTTAGGATTATTAATGGGATCTTGACACTTCAAACTATCTGTCATTGTAGTGACTGAGAATTCTGTCTTCACAGTTGACATTAGAGACACCTTTCTGCCTAATGAGATGGCAGGCGTCTAGTTGCTTTCTAATATTGGCATCAGTACAACTGACAAAGAGTAGGCATATTAAGAGGCTGGTAGTCTCCCTCATCTACCTTGCAGATGAATTAAGCAAGATCCTCTCATAGGGTGTTGGTTCTGGATATATTCTTCTGCTCTCCTGTGGTCTAGTGATATGCAAGAGGGGAGAAAGTAAGGGAGAGAGGGTAGGGCCTCAAGTGTGTCTATTCTCTTCTACTCCCAGAGTTGTTGAATAAAGAGCCAAACCACCGGGAAATACAGAATTAGAGCATTGTAGATAAGGTCTAAACTTTGTTCTCCACAGTGAGAAGCTGGTTGATGGGAATCCCTTGCCCAATTTTATGGGGCAATGCCTAGGTAGAATCAGTAGATGATGTTTTTTGTTTGGTTGGCTGTTTGTTTGTTTGAGACAGGGTCTTGCTATGTTTCAGGCTGACCTTGAGCTCACTATGCAGTTAAGCTGACCTTCTACTCTCCATCCTCCTGTCTCGGCCTTTGATGAGGATGTTTTCTCAGTTTCTGGTAGTAGGAATATATAACTTTCTATCAGAGAGAATGTATCTGTGCACAGATACCATCCCTACTTTTGCTCCTCAGATCACTTTCCCTTTTCTCCAGCATTGACCTGCATGGATTATATCAGTGTGGTCTGCTGCCCTCTGGCTTCTGGTTGGGGCTGTCCAATGGCAAGTGTTGGCAAGTGAGATTAGGACATTTATTCCCCTGGCATCTCAGGACTGACACATGGCTCCTTATCCAGGCAATGTTATCTTCACTGCTCTTTTCTTCAGTTTCCTGGTGACTTCTCTCACCCTTTCAGGCTCTAAATCTTCTTCCTGATAGTACCAACGTGGAATACTACATATTCCACTGGGGTTTCCCTAATCCTGCCCTTGTATTAATTGCACAATAATGAAACTCATCTCAGACCACTCAGTTTGAATAGACCTTGTGTTTTTTTACTGAAACTCCAAGTGATAAAAGTGTGGTTATTTGTCAATTCTTTCTTCTGCTTCTTTCATGTGCTCTAATAGTTTTATTCTTTTTTTAAAATTTTTTTCAGCTTTGAGTTTATTGGTACATTTTAGGGATACAGTACAGTTACATTCATTGTTGGGATCTTGTACCTCTACGTGACAAGTCTTGGTTCTCATTTTTCCTAATAGTTTTATTCTTTTAAGTGTCTATAAATGATCTCCATATTTATTTGTTTGTATACATTTATTCTCTACATTTTTGCACTGTCCCATTTTGAGGATGAGAGGATGCCACCTGTTTACTGATTATGACTCAGTCCTGCCTTGCCTCTGTTTATTAAAATGTACTAGAGCTTTAGTTCACTCTGACAAACTTTTAAGAAATTAGCAGACTCCTTCCAATTGGATGCCCCATGTCATGTTGACAATTACTAAAAATAGATTTTGTTGAACTCAATCTTGTTAAGTGGAGTTTGATTGAACTGTTTGGCATAGAGAAAATCTCACAAATACAGTATGCAATTGCTTGGTGACACTCAAATGTATGATATCTTTAGCTAACACAGAAGTCTTTTTGATTCTTTTGAAACAATACCTTTTTATATAAGATGGATAATTTCTTTCCTTAGGTACGCATTGCCCTATAAGAAAAAAAATGATGGCAAGCAAAAAACCCCAATGTATTACACTTGTGATAAAAAATGATCCAGAGATGGGTGCTAATTTCTAGGCTATTTAAAATCAGGATGGGTTATTCAAGACTAAAATACTACATAATTTTCAGTACTCATGAAGTATATAGTGTCTTAAAATGGTAGTAAAAAACCAGTTTGAATCCTAAGTATTGTGATGATGGCTTTGGGCCAGGCCTAACTTTTACCCAAATGGAAAACAGAAATGTAACAGATACTGCGAAGGACCCACTCACCTCCTCTTACCTGCACCCCCCCACCCATCCCCAGTTGGCAGGCAGCTTCAGTGCAAAGTTCCCCTATCTGCACAGCAGCTTTCTTCCTTCTGCATCTCTCTGCCAGAGACTTTTTTGGGGGCTGTGGGATCATTCCAGGCCTATGTGAGAAAGATGCCCTTGGGGCCTGGGATAGCAAACCTCATTCATACGGGGACAGGAATTGGAGGATAAATGCTCACATTTCCTGACATTTCTGAGATGTGCTCTATGCAGTTGCTCAGCAGGTTCACAGCAGGAATGAGTCCCTGTTACCCACAGCAATAACATCCTAATTAACACGGCCATTATTAATTTTCTTCTTTCCTGTCCCATTGCCTTATTCTCACACTTCCTGTGATTACCTCCCAAGTAAACTCCTCGCACTCAAATTCTTGTCCTGAGGTCTAGCTTTTAGGAGAGTCCATTTAAGATGGAAGACTCTAGAAGGACAATGAAAGGTGAGAAATACAGAATGAGTAGATCATGCTATTTGAAACTTCAAGAGAATAGAATCTTTGATGTTTCTGTGAATCGACTCTGTCTTTAGATAATACACTATTGAGGACACTGGCTGTTTCTAATCAACCCCACAAATCCCAACAATCTATGTATACCATGACAGATTCAATAAATGCTTGGTAATAATGATAATTTTAAGATTACACTACTTATAATGGCCATTACCATAGCAAAAGTATATAATTATTGTCAAAGAGCAAAGAAACTTCTGCCTTTGTTTTTTAAAGGTAAATGATGTTAGACTTTTCAAAATCAAGCTTAAAAAACATTTTACTCAGGTGACCACTGTAAAGGATGATGTTTCTACCATGGGACCTCTTCTCAGGTACCTTGTGAATTTCCCACATTGTTGTACTCACATCAACAGACTAAGTGATCACAACACATCTGGAGGCTTCCCGTGGATAATAATGCGGTTTGGATAAATGAACTTCAGGGGTATATATTTACTTGCACAGCTCAATGTTACCATTTCTAACTGGCTAAAGACCGACTAGAACATGAATGTCAGAGTCCAGTGGGGGGAAGATGACAAAATAGGAATTATATACGTTATTTTACTTTAAAATTTTGGCTTTTATCCTTTGGCTTATCACCCATTCACTATTCAGTGAGATGAATAATGTTTTCATTATGTATTTTTTAGGACTTTTTCCCATAAATAACTCACTAGCATTTATCATGTAGTGAAATAGTGAAAATTCACATCCAGTATAATATCAGACAATTTTTTTCATCTAGCTAACGTTAATGAAATTGAATAGGGTTGCTCCAAAATTCATTGGAAATCATTATTCACTGTCCTAGAATTCATTTAATCACATTCAGTTGTCCATAGATTGCATTATACAACTCCTAGTAAAAAAGGCTATGGTATAAGAAGCCAGA